TGACTTCCACTTCAACATGCAGAGAAATTCAAGGCATGACACACTTTCTGCTGTCTAGCTTAACAGTTTACTATGACAGGACATCCACTATTTATGGAGGGATGTGTGAAAAGTCTGTCAACTATGAATAGAACAAATTGTCTTAAAGTGTCTGTTTTGGATTACTGTAATGCATTTGAATGCATTTAGAAGAGTGTCTTTGGTTTGTTCCCAAACTCACCTGTCCTCCACTCTTTTTCTGTTTTTCCTGTAGATCGGGTGTTTGAAATAATACTCACTCCTCCTTCCCACAATCTAAACATTTCCTGCCCAGAGAGGAAAGAAATGAGGAAATGTCTCATCACAGCTGGAAATTGCCCAGAGGTGAAAGCTCCGAGGGAAGATTCTCAGAGGATCATAGATCGAGACTTCTACAAGTGTCTGGGAGAATTAAGACTAGAAACCCACTGAGGTGTGCACTAATGTCTTTTTGTGTCCTGTATTGCATTGCTTGTTGCTGCTGTGACATGTGACTGTGGAGTGTGTACCACGATACTGAATATTCCTGAATGTTATGCCTCATTCTGTTGTTGGTATTGTAGTGTGTGTGTTAATTGTGTGTATGTTACTATTTCAGTTGTTTACCATGTTTCCATGCAGACATTTTTGTTTTGGATTATTGTCACTTCCTGTTTTATTCTGTAGTTGGTTTCCTTGTGTAGTCTTAATGTTTTTATGCCTGGTTTTCTTGCTCCTGTTTTTTTCTGGTGTGTGATTGTCTGCCCCGCCCTAATGTGGTTTCCACCTGTGTTCCAATTCACCCGTGCCTCCCTTGTGTTCTAGTCTCTGTGCTCCCTCTGTTGTGTGTCGTTCTGTCTGTTCATGGTTGCCTGTACTCTAACGGCTGTGGTATCCCCTGTGTCTCCTGTTGTTGTTCTTGTATTCCCTCGTAGCTTCGGTTCCTTTTGGCTGCATTGGTCCAGCCTACCCGCCACATGACAGTTTTTAATACTTAAAAGTATAGTTGATCACATTTGCATATTTTTCTGTTGATGTACAGACAATGGAAAACGAGTATGAAATAGGCTCTGGCTGAGTTTGTAGTTTGATCCCCACTCCTTTCTGTCCACGTGTCCTTGAGCGCTGAATGCCAATTTTTTTCCGATTTGCACGCCAGTGCTTTGCATGTTTGGCAGCCTCTGTTGCCATAGATATGTGTCTGTGTGAATGGGTGAACAGAAAAGCAAATTTGCGTCCATTATGATAAGAAAACATGTACATGTCATTCCCAGGCTGCTGTGCCATAAAATCATTAATGTATGCTTGTTGATGTCATCTGACAAAATCACCTTGAGATACAGGTTGAGAGATCACCAGAGAAACTTATGGTGACAGAAAGTTTTCTTTTTAACTTTACTGCCACAAACAATAACTAGGCAGGCATCATTTTGCAAAAGCTCCACCAAAAACTGGGGAAACAGATGCAGTTTTAAAATGATTTTAAATTAAATATCTTAATGTATGGATGTGTGTGTAGGATGTTATTCTTGCTATATGTTGATATGTTGTCAAGTGGTAATAAATCTCTTAATCTCTTACCCCTCTCACTTCTCACCCTTTTCTCCTCAGGAGGTGAAAAAGCAGTGAAAGAGGAATTAAGCTCAAACCATCCCTGGTGACAGGCTGACAGCAGAGGACTTTGAAATTGTGGTAAGTTTTTTTTTTAGTCTAATTACTTTCACTTCCACTTTTCATAAAATCTTAGGCTTTTATTGATTATCACTATTTGGAAGATAATCTATTATATATAAAACAATCTTTTCTCTACCCTTTCTTTTAGGGTCACTTCTCTCGATTACAAAAAGGACCATGGTGGTATAAGCAAGTGCCTGCAAGTTAAGATCCCCAGCCATTCAGACTTAAGCATCAGTATTTATATGTTTCTAGCAGTGCTGCTTTGATTCTTTCAATGGCAAGTTTGCGCTCTGCCGTCACAGAGACTGCAAAAGTAAAGTCATCTCAAGAACATTGTCAGAACACAAGCTTCAAATGAGGAACTAAACCTGTCTATAAATATAATAGCGTTTGGACGTGCATCTTTAATGCTGTTAAAATTATTAGCTGGAATGGACTGGGTGAATTACGTATTCCGAATTAATCTATACCTTGATGGATTGGATGCATAGCTGTATTCATCCATCACAATAGGAGTAATAGAAGCTATCCGGCCCTGTCGCTAAGCCTACCCGTTGTTCCATGCTCAATTCTCAAATTTAATATACTGCTTCATCTTAGATTCGGGTGCCCGACAGCTCCTACAGTAAGCCGCTTTATCTAGACCAGTTTAAGGTTTACCTGCAGGAAGATCAAGACAGTCTGTATCGACCTGGACGAACTTCTCCTGGCAGGCAATGCCAAGATCTTTCCATACTTGAGAAAGCCGAATGAACGGCTCAGAAAAGCGCTCTGAGAAAGCTGTCCATCCTGACCAAGAAGAACAGCAGGCATAAATTTTGAGAATAAAAAATATAGCAGCAGCTTCCTGTATGACAAAATAAATACATATATATATATATACAGTCATTGCTAAGTCTGACCTGGTCTTGGGGGATCTTGTGAAGCTTTTGTCAGGGGCAAACTGCTGTAGAAATACACATTACACTGATGGCTCCTCCCCCTTTTTCCTGTAATCGCAAGGAAAGTGACCTAAAAAGAAAAAGGGTGAGAGATTTAAAGATTGTTTATATGAATAGATTATCTTCCAATCAGTATAATCAATAAAAGCCAGATTTTTATGAAAAAGTGAAGTGAAAATAATAGACTAAAAAAAAACTTACCACAATTTCAAAGTCCTCTCGTCAGCCTGTCCATCCAGGGATGTGTTGAGCTCTAATTGCCTTTTCCACTGCTTTTCACCTCCTGAGGGAAAGGGTGAGAATGAGAGGGTAAGAGATTAGAGATTTATTTACAACACTGACAACATACAAATCTATATAGCAAGAATACATCCTACACACACATCCCATACATTAACATTATTTAATTTAAAATCATTTAAAAACTGCATCCTGTTTCCCCGTTTGTGTGGAAGCTTTGCAAAATGATGCCTGCCTAGTAATTGTTTGTGGCAGTTAGAATTAAAAAAGAAAAACCTTTCTGTCACCACTAAGTTTCTCTGGATCTCTCCAACCTGTACTAAGGTGATTGTTCAGATTGACCATCGAACAAGCATACATTTAATGGATTTTGTTAGGCGACAGCAGCCTGGAATGACATGTACATGTTTTCTATCATAATGGACAAAATGCTTTTCTGTTCACCCATTCACACAGACACATATCTAGTGCAAACAGAGACTGCAAACAAAGCAAAAGGCACTGGCCTGGGCAATCGGAAAAATTGGCATTCAGCGCTCAAGGGACAACATTTCGTGGACAGAAGGAGCTGGGGATCCAAAACTACAAACCTACAGCCAGAGCCATTTCTATCTCATGTCTGACTACATCAACAGAAAAACTGTCAAATGTGATCAACCTATACTTTAAGTGATTAAAACTTCATGCGCGGTAGCTACCAATCCAAGAAACCGAAGCAGAGGGACACATAGGACGTACATCAGAGCCGGGATTATTCCAATGTATCGTTATAAGATAAGGAATTGTAACAGCACGAAACGTTCTACAACAGCGAGCCAGAGATGACTACTAATGTGGACGCAAGTTGTTCACACACCATCGAACACCACACAAATAGCGGCAACACATCACCACACCACGAACACAACACGACAACCGACACAACGGACAACAACAACACATAACGCACACACACACACACACTGGAAACAACTGTTTAAAAATAGAAACTGTGACATTGAAGCTCAACTATATCAATCCAATACGGAACTACAATCTGAGCCAAATAAAACTGTTAAGACAACTGAAATATGCTTCATACAACACAATTAAAAACCACACACTTACAATACCAACAACAGAATGAGCATAACATTCAGCGAATATTCAGATATATCGGGTACACACTCACAGTTCACGATGTCAAGCACACACAAGCAATGCATATACCAGAGCACAAAAGACATAGTACACACCTCAGTGGGTTTCTAGTCTTAATTTCCCCAGACACTTGTTAGAAGTCTCGATCTATCTTCTGGAGAATCTCCCTCGGCAGCTTTTCACCTCTGGGCTCAATTTCCACTGTGATTGAGAACAATTTCCCATTTCTTTCCTCTCTGGCAGCGAAATGTAATGTGGAAGGGAGTGAGTATTATTTCAAACACCGACTCACAGGAAAAACAGAAAAAAGATGGAGCGACAGGTGAGTTGGAACAAACCAAAGACAATTTCAAAATGCATTCAAATGCATTACAGTAATCAAACAACACTTTAGGACATTTGTTCTATTCATAAGTTTTTGACAATTATCCCAAATCCCTCCCAGCTAAATAGTGATGTCCTGTCATAGTAACTGTAGCTACTAGACACAGAAAGTGTGTCATGCCTTGAATTTCTCTGCATGTTGAAGTGAAGTCATACCCGGCATCTAGTTTGGAGTTTGGTGAGTTTTTATGCAAAAGCAAAAGTTTAAGAAATGAATTCAAGCAATATTATGCAACTATGTTACCTTAAAATGACAGCTTCAAAATGACTTTGATGATACCGTGACTTGTAAGAATGGTGCCTCTTTCATTCCCACACCTCGAACACCTTTTTCTTACATTATGTAACCTTGTTGAGCTGTACGATCGCCCGCGAGGAGTGCATAAGGGTTTATGGCACTACGTCACACACCATCAAATATGGGTGTTCATAGTGAGTGGGGTTTACAGGCATCATGGCAGAGGCACAGAGACCAGCTCAGTGTGTACTGGCGATCGGTCATGCTGGGACAAATCCTGGTGGGCTGCAGCATCGGTGGACCGTCAAAAATGCTATAAAGTTTTTACCGGCCCTCTCTGTGTGTCCCTTGGGATGCGCATTAGAGTGTGCTGTGTGTGTGTGTTTAGAGACTTGGCTCCCTGTGTTTTCTGCCATAGTACAATGATAGAGTCTAACAGGTTCCCTTTATGTGCAGGCAAGTAAAAGTAAAAGTTAAACATGGCACAGATAGTGCTTTGTGTATCCCGCCCACTCCTCCGTGTATCTTAATGTTCCTTAGTTTTAAATTGACAGCACACTGTGGCATCTGTTGACCTGTCAGCTTGGTGTAGGCCTCTATGTCTTCTATAGCTTCAGAGAGAGTGAACGTCTTCCCTCCTGAGCCTTCAATCTGGATGCATGGATCTGCTTTTACGAAGGCATCTGTGATCCTGGATAAACACACCCAAAAAACATGAAGTAATGGAAATACACTGCATCAGACAGAGGACCAGCTAAATTTTTAGAGTACCAACATGGGAAGGATACTTACATAGTCTCTATGAGCTTGTTCACATTGTGCTGATAGGCTTTCCTGTGGAGAGAACTTCTATTTTCAAACATGTCACGCAGATTGTCCTTCTCCTGTTGACAGCATTGTATGTAGGTTAGTCACAACTACTCAGATAAATGGACCGCTGTTTAAAATCTGATTTTAAACAAACAATCAAACAAAAGCAGCAGTTACATCGTCACCACCTTGTCTCGAGAGCAGATGTGCTTCCTCCCCTCCACCACACACACTCTGGCAAACTTGAAGAAGCGGTGATGGTCAAAGTGGTTCTGGATGCCCAGGTGGTGGCAGTCCCTGAGAAGAGACAGAGTGAGGAAATATGTGGAGAAACAAAAGCTTATCAAATTTAGTTAATCAAATCACCCAAGTGAATGTTGCATAATGTAAAGATAATCAGGAGAACACTGTAATTGTTCTGGGGAAATAATACAGTAGTTCATCACTCTACATCAACAAGTGAATTATACAGAAGCTGTTCAACAAGCCCACCTGGCAAAGTAGTCAAACTTGTCCACATCAATGCCATTTGTTTTATTGGCCACGATTTCATAGAGGAAGGACTTGTCCTCGTCTCGACCTTCATATTTCCACTGTAGAGAAGACAACATAATAATGGCATTAAACACTGACTGCTGTAGCAATGATGACACCGACTGATTTCACACAATTCACACATCGGGAGTGACAGGTACCTTCTTTTGTTTATTAGAGTCCAGAGGTCCCCCAATCATCTCCTTGATGAAGAGCATGTCCTGCTCTGGCTCCAGGCCGTACTTCTTCATCACCGGCTTCAGGTCATTTTTATCAACCAGGTGATCAAGCATCTTTAGAGAATTCTTCTCATGCTGCAACATACAAAGACTCATTACATTAATAAATTAGTATATTAGTAAGTGAAAATAAAATGGCTTCAGTAGAAAGAGTTTATCTTTTCCAAAACATCACAACATACACAGAACATGAATTTTTGTCTAATCTCTCATGTTTGCTTCTCTCTGGTCATAAATTACATAATGACCATGTGAGGTAAGTCAGATTTCACAGACAACAGAAATAATTGAACCGTTTCTTACCTCGCACTTTTTACCTGCTTTGGGGAGGAACATTCCATCAAACAGATGGGAAAATGGCCCATGTCCTAAATATGGAGAAATCAGTATAAAATAACCTAATCATGACTGTGTGTGAACTGTAAATGGAGACGTTTGTGATTATATCTTGTCAGATATGGACAAGCTAGTGGAAAAGAAAGAACCTTTACTTTAGGTGCTGGTCACTCGACCGGTCTTATGGGCTCTTAAGCAAGCCTGCAATTTCGCCACACAGAGGATGTCTCTGTCAGTGATGTTGAGTTCAGGCTGCTTTGTTTTTAGAGCTTGTGCAAACTCTCCTGCCTAAGTACGCGCACTCTGTAACACCACAACACACACAACACAGCACAACCATGACTGAACACACACACACACACACACACACACACACACACACACACACACACACACACACACACACACACACACACACACAAAGACTTCTTGAGTATCTTGCAGCAAAGATGAAAATGTGAACTGTTATTTTACCTCTACTAAAGTTTGCAATGCATTTACTTAGATTTTATTCTTTTATTAGGTGCATTGCTGTAAATCAGTCTTCCCTTTATCATGAATTGTGGTTACAGTTAGACACATAGCTGTGTCTCTCTAAAAACATGCAGACATACCCAATGGAGTGTTCAAAGCGGTTGTGGGACGCTCCAGGGAAAACATAGTAGGCCCCTCCAAGCTGCTTGATGTTTCGCAGTCTCTGGAACTGAGGCGTGTCTATGATTTTGATGAGTAGTGGGTGTAACTCCACATGCCCGTGGATGGGATCATTGAACACCTGGCAGAAAACAATAGAATAAAAAAATTAAATACACCCAGTTCAATTATCATCCAAAAGAGAGCTAGTTGAACAGCTCCATTGTGTCCTCTTTAGAGTTCAGTGAACTAGTCTGTCATCGCTTCATACTGCAGTCGTTCTCATTTTCATTTTTTCATGCTTCCCATGTCTCCTTTGCTGTAGACTGACAGTTGACTCAGCAATAGAGAGGAAACATGAACCATCAGGATTATGTGGTTGTAAGGTTCATTCATTGACCCTACCACCTTACACACTCTGTTGTTGTTCTTTATACAACTGTTGTTTATTCTTCATCTTTCCTCTGTTTAGTTAAGAGAGCCCGACGCACTAATTAGACAAAACAGAAACAAATTAAGAAAACACCTTCATTGATTTGACAACACATACGCTGCAAATACACAAAACACAACCACATAGAGAAATGCAGACATGGTTCAGGGGATACAAAAAAATGATGAATGTGCATTTGCTGTGTGTTTGTCTTGTCAAATCGACGACTATTTTTTCTTAATTTGCTTGTGTTTTTCTATTTCTACGAGCTCTCTTGGCCACAGTGCTGAATATGAAGTGTGATGTTTGATCGGGTACATTACCTTGCCTTGTTCTTTGCTCTGTTCAGTGATACTGTGCAGGATTTTCAGTTGGTCACCAAGTTACAAAATGATTTAAAATAAAGAGAAAATCAGTGAGTTGAAGAGAGAAAAAAGTGAGGTTAGTTAAACTTGGTAAGAGATACAGGCAGCAATTGTTTCACAGAATTAACACTACTATGTCATAAGAATTTGCTTTTTACATACTTCCTCATATATAATTGTTATACTGTAATTTTCTAGACATTGCAACCTGAGGAGCCACTCACCTCATGCCTAGTTCTCTCTGCTTAGCATCTGTGAGATTTTTCAACATGGCAACAGTGATCTTTTTGTCTGTATAAAAGAGGAAACAGTTAACAGTCCTGTAATAAATGGTATTTATTATGACAAGTATCCTTGATATTAGCTTTCATGCTTCACAACACAGACACATAAGGAAAGACCTGAGTTAAAGCAGCTCTCAACTGGCTAACTCTGAGGACAACTATTGATGTAATTTACCAAACCAGAAAACCAACCTTTAACTGTGTTTTGACAGTCTTCCAGGTAGTGACACAAGTCCTCTGCTTTCCATTTCTCGTTGTCGAGGGGCAACACCAGTGACAATGTTGTCTTTGGCATTTTGATGCTGTCAGAGGTCGTCTCTGCTTGCTGACGTTTTCGACTTTGTTCTGCCATGTGGTTGATAATACAGGATCGTCACACGAATAATAGTGTTATATGATGTTGTTTAATACAGCTGATCAGGGCAGACCTGCAAAAAAGTTTGAACAATACCAAGTTTTGGTGCCTCAACCATATACTGTATATGGCTGTTCAATGAACTCATTGTGAAGGTCTATGAGTGGACAGCAGAAATATTTCAGCCTAATTTGTTCAGAAGGAAACGTAATTGCCACCTGAATTAAGTCTACTGGCATTTTTTGGTCTGATACAGAAAATGTAACATTCTTAACCTTTATGAAAAGTAGTATAAAACAGTTAGGGGTGGATCAATTGTGTAATTACCCTTGGTGTTGCAAGTGTACCACACCAGGGCCCAGGAGCTGTCAGGGGCCCATCACACTTACTTTTGAGTCATGGTCTTCTATGTTTTTGTTGTCCTTTTGTAATTTTCCAAAACTGCATGTTTTATTAAAAATAAATATTATGTCCACCCACCACTTACTTAATCTGGTTACTTTCTTCCCCAAAGTTACCAGGTGGCATTCTGGGAATTCCTAATTGGACCAATGAGCTCATTCCCTTTCATTTGTGATAACCTGCAAGAGTTATCACTAAGTTTTTGGCACAACCTTATAGCAAGAAGTGAGTTCTTCAGAAAATGGATGATCCACTTAGCAACATAATGTTTAGAAAGTCCAACCAAAAAAGTGGCGCTCAAAAGAGGAAGGACAGAAGAGAACAGTTCAAGTTTATTGCTGAACTGACTAAATTAGATACGTTTTTACTTAGCATGCTTCAAGTTCTTTGGATGCTAGCAATGTTGACGTGCAGCTGGAGGCTAACGTGAGCTGGATTGGCTATACTCTCAATAGAGAACATTAAAGCCAGGATCTGGAAGTTAATGACATTTCAGAGAGAAAAACTATAAAACAACAACAATTTTGCAACAATGACACACAGCGGAACATGACTTGCTGAAAGCCTTCAATAAGAAGCTGGATTCACTATCTAACACCACTTCAACTGGCTGCATCAAGCCAAAGACAGAGGATAATATGTGCATATCTGCAGCCTTCTCTGGGAACAAACACAGGAATGAAACAAGCTTTCCATTTTGGTGGCAGCCACAAGCAAGTTACGATATACTGTAGACATGCAGTGTATGCAGCAATTTCATCAATGATCATCTTTGACGAAAACTAAATAACAAGCAACCTTTGAAAAAGAGATCTATGATGAAATGGATTACATTTTTTGTCAATGAATAACAAAGACAAGAAACAATGTGAAAGACAGCCAAGTGGACATGTTTCAATGCAAAATCTTACTCAACAACCTGCATGTATCTGTGGAATCACACACTGAAGCTCCTGATTATTAACAGTTTCTTCCACCATCCAAAATATTTCTTGTTCAGATGATGATTTAGTGACTTTACCTGTTGCACTGTGTTAATAAGAAACACTTTGTTTGAAGTTATGTCTCAAAGTAAAGTTATGTCAGTAATGTTATCTGATATTGTAATTTCATTGTTGGTACTTACTGTTTACTGCGCTGCTCTCATCCCCTGATCCCTGGCACCTGTATGTTGGCTCTTTAAAACCCTCTCAAACCCCACCCACTTTCACGTAACAGGCAGCATCAGCAGCATCGTTATCACTAAACATTTTCTCTTTCCTTGTTAAGTTGCCATACTTTGTTTTGCAAATTGTTTTTGCACATTTTTGTTTAACAAATCTTCAGGGCTCGTAATGGATCAATCATACCCAGAGCAAAAACCTACAGGAAAACAAACCTCCTATTTTTGTTAAAACATATGGGCAGAAATTTCATGTCACTAGTTTCACTTTGAAATTTTTACACTTGTCTTTTGTCATTTGACTATCACCTCATCAGAGTCCAAGGTCAAAAATGCAAAAGTTTTTGCCTGACAAATTGCTGTTCATCAGCTCCAACTCTTCCTCGTTCACTCCATATTCAGGATCCTCTCTGTTTTCAGGTGTATCATGAGTCGATGTTCTTATCCTGTATTCCTCCAAAGTGGATGGCTCAACAGCTTAGCCTGCATGGTACTTTGGTCAAGGGCAAAATCAGAGCAAAGTTTTCCACTGGAAGCAAACCGCTGGTGAATGCCATCTATAACAGTGTTCATTGACCTCAAAGTCTATCTCAGCTGCTGCTAACAATTCATCTTCTACCAGCTCATTTGGGATGGTCTTCTATTTTTCTCACCTGTTTTTCAGGTAGGGCTACCCATCTCTCCGTCTCACAGTCCTTCTGTACCTTCTCATTAAAGTCCCTCACACATGTTCAAGTCGTTCTCACAACCAGACGTCGTGCTATGAGGACATCCATGGCACTTGTCTGCAAATACTTTGTCAAGGGTGTAGCGTTAACGCCATGTTTTAGGATTTACTCTCGTTGAAATGGGGCACCAGTCCTCTAGGAGGACAACAATGAATTATTTCATTGCCAAATTCATCAATCTCATATCGGAAGCCATGACTTCTCGATTCAATGGATCTCCAGTCTCTACATCAAAAGAATACAACAGGACAATAACTGGGTGTAAATAAAGGAGTTTATTTAACTAAACTACTTTCTACAGAGTAAATGCAAGGTGTAATAATCATAACGATGAAAATAATAATGAAATGAGCAGTGTGATGTGTTGGCAATGGTGGGAGAGAATATGTTATGGCTATACACTATGGCTATGCAGCTAATGATACTACATCTACGAATTAGGTTTGATGATTAAATATTGCTATATTTTGACATCAACCCAGTCATGAGCAGAGTGTTAAGACCGGCCTACTGTGAGTTGCGCTGTAGCTGAAGACCCTCGGCTGGAACCCAGGTGGCTGTGGTTGCCGTGGTAACCCTTGAGACGCGGGATCTAGGTGGATTCTCCTGGAGGCCGTGTCCCGTTATCACGATGATGGATTCTGCCGGTGTCTCAGCGGTTCAGCTCTGGTGGAGTTTGCCAGGAGACTTTCTGTCTCGGGCACTCTTGATTTCTGCTCGGCTTCTCTGCAGGCGGTCGTGCAGATGTTATCTGCTGGCGTCTCTTGTGGGTTGATGCGAAATAAACTCTAATGCTCTTCACTTTGGCTGGACAACTTTAGAGGAGACTGGCGTTGACCAGATGACTCTAAAGTTGTCAAAATCTTCAAAAATGAAAACTTAATGATTAAAAGTTACAAAATTACTCTGAGGCACTTCTGTTGCTTTGGTTCAGTTGGTCTTGACTTGGCTTATAAAAATAAAAGATCACGCATGTAGACAAAAATCATGTTACTTGTAGCTTGTGGCAAAGAAAAATAAAAGACACGAAAAGTGCAAAAATTACTAAGAGCCATGAGTTTGTGGCGAGTAGCTTAGAGCTAAGAGTTTACATGGCTACAGAGCCGGACTTTAAGCTGCGACTCTGAGCTTTGAGCAAAGATCTCAGCTTCTAGTTTCTGCATCGTTCCTCGCTTCTCGCATCTTCTTGTCATCTGGGTTTCTCTGATTTTTCTTTCTCTTCTGGTTCTCTTCTAAACTGATTTTTGGAACTGCTTTTCTTAGAACTGACATCTGACCTGATTTCCTTTGAACTCTGAACTGGCTTAGGCATTTTTTGCAATGTGTGAATTGTTCACAAATGTTTTATCCTCTGGGGGCTGGCGCATGGTTCATGGGCACCACCCATCTTCTCCTGTGTTTCAACTTGGAGAAGAGAGTAATTTTCCACTGAACTTTAGAATAATTTAAATCTAGAGTTTACTTATAAACTCGCACATCCATCTTCCACCATGACCACAAAACATTAAATGAAACTAGAAAATTCCAGGGAAATTTTGAGTGCCACAGGGGCTACTGCCGGGATAAGTACATGTTTTATTTCCAGTGTTCAAAAGTCACCCTGATCATATTCTGGTTTTGAGAAATGTCTTGATATAAAAGACTCTGATATAAAACAATGTCACATCCCTCCATCATGTATTATGTGGGAAATATCTCATATTCTGTGTTGTTTTTTTTAATAAAACAAGAGGCAACATGTCTTCAAACTGGCATTTAAAGGGTTAAAATCCTGAAAACTAATAAACATTTGGTAGGTTTGAGCAGAACTGAAGTGGTTTAAGAGATGTATGCAAAAAAAAGCAGAAAAAAATATTGATATATGATGATTTTATAGCATTTTCTTTGTGTGTCCTTTTTTGGACGCGAGGAACCCCAGAGGGTACAAAATGTGTTACCAGTGTATAATAGACCTGTAACAGTAACTGACATTAGATTTTAAAAAATATGTCAAAAAAGACACTTTCTTGCAGAAATCCATACCTTCAGCTGTAACACAGCCAAAATGATCAGCAAATCAAAAAAGAAAAGTGAAGAAAATGTCCAAAAAAGGACAGAGGGACCCCTGAGGGTTAATAAATCCCATGAACCGCTATTTAAATTACCACTATTATGTTTTTTTCGGTGCTAAATTTAACATTACTGGGGAGGAGAGCAACGCGACTAGAAGTGACAGCGAGAGAGGGCTAGTAGCTTCTCCTCTCCTCTGTCTCAGCGGAGACCGTCACAACTTCATTCACTCATTTAACAAAACAAAAAGAAAAGCAACAAAGGAAGCAGTAAATGGACTTACATATTTAAGACCTAACTAAATGTAATTTAAGACCTAACATGCGGCTAATGTAAAGCTAGCAGAGCTTGGAGAGTTGGTTATCTGGTTGCTAGGCACGCACACTCGCACACAGGTCAGGAGCTGCCGTTGCCATGGCAATGTGAAAATCTGCCCAGAATTTGGCTTCTACATGGCTTAAAACAATTGCAAATTATGAGAAAACCGTTACTTCTTTTCAAAAACCGAAAACACCGTGACAGACACTGAAGCCAGAAGTTTCTTACAGTCTCTATTTTATTCAGATATTCCTTAAAATGAGTGAGTAAGCTCAGTGCGAAGACAGAGTGAGATTCTTTTGAAAAAAAAAGACGATTACGTTAGGTGTCAATGAGAGTGAGACAGGTATTGCTGCCGGACTCGGCACCCCCGTTTAAATTTTGTGCAGACCCTGCCTGTCAAAGTTACATTTTATGAATCCCAACAACTATGTCTACATTTTCAGTAAGAATTATTTGTCTCCTTTTTACGATTTGGCCGTGAGCTTGAGTTAAAAATAAAAATAAAGGTTATTTTTTACTGCTTCACGCACTCTAGCCAACTGACGCTGTCACTCTAACTTTGAAGAAAAAGTGATTTGCACTCCTCCTTTGAGTGCTCATAGTTTGAAAAGTTTACATGTTATGTAAAAACAGTTCTTGTGTTTTTGAGAGAGCAGAAGTTTTCCTCCGTTTTATAGTTTGAATCAAATTTCTACGTGCAGGTATGAGAGAGCTGGGTGACTCAGAAAAAAGGTGAATTTTGGAGAAAAAAGGTGAAATTTTGTGGGTTTTTAAAGAAAATTCCAATGCATTCCTAATGCATTATTTATTCCCAGTATTTTTGGAATAACTTTGGGAAAAATTTGAATTTTAACACCAAAAGTCATAGCACCTCTTTCGGGATCAAGACGCACGTTTTGATGTATATATTACCCGAGGCACTCCTCTCAGCTATTCTAGCTTTAGAGGAGTGCCTCGGAGCTGAGCACCCGTGGCACTAATAACATAAAACTACTTGCACTAATAATGGCAGAGAGGAGTAATACCAGTGTTGATTTCATATTACATCCTTCAAACCTGGAATTAATTATGAGACAAGTGGTTAATTGATCAAACAACAACATAAAAATTTCCCAAAGCTAATAGTCTATACATATGGATTACACAGCAGTTCTTTGACTGTAATAATAATAATATGGACATTCTGGATGTCATGTAGTGTGCGTTACCTTGTGTGAAGGATGCTGACAGTATGGTCACATGAAGGACATTGTCTTAAAATCTTACATTTCAAACATTCTATGGGATAGAAATTTGGGATTAAACTATTGCATAGGAACATCTCATGAGTTAGGGAACAGTTAGATATTTAATTTTACATTCTTCCTTAGATCTGTGTCTGTGAAGAGTGTTCTGCTGGTCACTACCCAGGATTTGAATGTGGGTTGTAGTTTATGACTCTTATCTAGAGAGGGACAGAGGAAGGGAGGTTGGTGTGTGTGTCCATGCATGGCACAGAGAGGCCAGGATTCACATCTTAGTGTTAATCAGTCCTTTTGTTGTTACTTGTCCTATACAAGAAACAATCAAATATCATTAGACAGAGTCTTATTGTTACAAACTGGAGATTTTGTCTGTATTCTCCAGTTGTCTGGTGTCCATTGGTTGATCCTCTGGAGCTGACCCTTTGACCTTTGGTCTGGTTCTGTGTCGTTCGGACATGCTAAAAGCATGGGCTGTTTGTGGAAGAGGGGGATAATCAACTTCCTTAATGGCTTGTGACTGATGCCAGGCCACGCATGTACGCTACAAGGGTGATGTGTGCTCAAAACAAGGGGCCTCTGTGTATCCTTTAGCCTTGATCCTAACAGTTGGCTTCATGGTTCTGTCGTTTCCTCAGCACACA